GAAATAATTTCTGCACGAACCGGAAATATCCCAAACGCGGACCGTTTGATCCAATGAAGCTGACACGATGATATCCTCTGTGGGATGAAATTGGGCACACATTACATAATGGTTGTGTCCAGTCAGTACACAAATGCAAGTGCGACTTTGCCAGTTCCAGATTCGAATAGTCTGATCATCTGAAGCACTGAGGATCCAAGGATATTCTTGATGGAACATTGTGGTTCTAATATAATCCAGGTGACCCAAAAGGGTGAAGATACACCTTCGTTGTTTGTAATTCCAAACTTTGATCTTATAATCGTCGCCACCAGAAACAAATAATGGCTGCTGATTGTGAAAACATATGCCTCGAACGGGTCCGTCGTGTTCATCGAATTTGTCGAGCAGGGCGCACATACGGTAATCCCATAGTTGGATAACGCCATTATGTAAACTGTAATTTATTTATGAATGTAAAAATTTTTATTGATTCCATTTTTTTGCATTTATGTAAGAAATACAGTAATTATTTTGTATAATTAAATATAGGACATAAAATGTATTACATTCATATATTTTTTATTTTATTTTTATAATTGATATGAATATATTTGATATTTAAATATGACGAACTATATATATATATGTATGTATGTATATACACACAAATATTAATTTTGTAAATGTTTATTTCATTCTTATAATAATCTTTTATACATGCAAATGTATTTTATTTGTGTATAAATATATGGTATCAATTACGAAACTACTTATTGGTTTACACGCTATACATATTATTCTTTTCAACCGAATCATATGAGGAACGTTTATAAGTGCCCTCGATTGCGAAAACCGGCGGTTCGCATGATTTTTTTCTGGGCATACAATTACAAAATGAAGCATAAATAGAGGTCATTCGGAAACTGGATTTCGGGCCTACACCTCCATACAGGGTGTCCCAATAACATAATGAAAACAATAGAAAGTAAAAATCAAGAATATTACTTATTTATAGATTCTTATACAAATTTCATTATTTCTTTACTAATTTAATTTTTTCTTGTAATTCAAATATAAAAAAAGCTATACTCAAGACATTCTTGAAATTTAATGTGGATCTTTGTAATTTACATTTGGTCGCCTTATATCTCGTATACATATATTATCTTAAAAGACAAGTATTGTAGATTTGTTAATTTAATATTTTAATTTGTGTGTGAATACCCAAAAAATGCACAATCATTTTTTATTCCTCCCATCTATCAATAATCTTTTTAATATACGCATAAATATTAAACACTTACTATAAGTTCATTCATCATCACTTACTATAAGTCCATTCATCATCACTTACTATAAGTCATTCGTTCATAAATATACATATATCTAATAAAGAGATTAGAAATGCTTAATTTGTCACATTAATCTGCTTTTCTGAATAATTCATTATATCTTGGTTACACCCATTACTTCAAAACTAGAGTCCGATCGAAATTTCGATTTCGATCAGTTTCGATAAAAAAATTATAGTTTCGATTTGATTTCGGTCGAAATTAAGATAAAATTTTGGTAAATAAACTATACAAATTGCAACATGTTGACGAGCATTCGAAAAACTTCATCTTTTATCGGCGCCAATTGCGCCAAACCATGCTGGTACTATTTCTTTCTTTCATCATCCTTTTTTTGCTCGTCAAGTCGCCATATGTTTAGTGTCTGAAATTCTTTATAACTTATAAAAAATTTTTATAATTTAAGAAATAATAAGACATATTAATAAAATCTTATTTTTGAAAAATACATAAATTTCATATATTTTGACAATTTCCAATGACTCTCTAAAAATAACATAGTGTTTATAAGATTTATCCAATTTCAGTTTCGGCCGACATTGAATAAAAACCGAATAT